AACTCCCCACTGACGTCTTGCTGGGGAACAATATCGGACAGCTAACTACAGCTTTTGTACCAGCCCAGGTCACCAACGAAAGACCTACCCAGTTACCACCCAGTCCCAGGCTCACAGCACAGAGAACAGCATGCCCTCCCCCTTCGCTGCAGAATTTGGGCAGGAAACCCTTAGTGACCCCACATTGCAGGTCTATAGGGATAAAGTAACCCAGTCACAAGCAGGATTAGAAGTAGAGAGATATTCCTGGCACCAGGGGTTATTGTACCGCGATTTAGAGAGAGTCTCGGCCGGGTCCCTACCAGTCCCCATCTCACAGTTAGTAGTTCCCCAGAAATGCCGGAGAGATTTACTGCAGATGGCCCACAATATTCCCGTGTCTGGCCACTTAGGGGTCAGCCACACTAGATACTGGCTTAGCCACACCTTCTTTTTGCCTGGCATCTCCAAAGATGTTAGACAGTACTGTCAAACGTGTGACACCTGTCAGCGGGTAGGGAAACGGGGAGATCGCCACAAGGCCAAATTATAACCCTGTCCATCATAGAGGAACCATTCTGGCGGGTAGATATTGTAGAAATTGTAGGACCACTAGCAAAACCCAGCCCATCCAACAAAAAGTACAGTTGACTATGCCACACAGTATCCCGAGGCTGTGGCTCTGACAAACACGCAGAGACAATAGCTGAGGCGCTGATACGGGTCTTCTCTCGGATTGGTTTTCCTAGGGAGATAGTCTCAGATCGGGGCACTCAGTTCACTGCAGAAGTCACCCAACAGCTTGGGAGACTGTGTGGCATTAAGCCAATTATTAGTTCTCCCTACCACCCCCAGACAAATGGCCTATGTGAAAGGTTCAATGGAATATTAAAACAAATGCTCCGGACCTTCACGGCCATGAGTCGGGACTGGGAGAGATTCCTGCCACATCTCCTATTTGCGTATCAGGAGGTGCCGCAGGAATCCACAGGATTCTCACCCTTCGAACTACTGTTCGGAAGGAGAGTACGGGGAACACTTGATTTAATCTGGGAACACTGGGAGGGAGCAGTAGGTGAGGATGGTAACCCTGTTATATCATATGTGCTGGAGTTCCGCGACCGCTTGGAGGAATTGACTCAGAACGTGTGTACCAACCTCCAGGCGGCGCAGACTCGCCAGCACCTGTAGTATTACATGGGCACCTGGGGAGTTTCAGATTGGCCAAAAGGTTTTCATTTTAAAACCTGTTCGCAACAACAAGCTACAGGCTGCCTGGCAGGGCCTATACCAAGTGGTGGAGCAGATATGTGACACCACTTACATGATCGGTCCTTGCTCTGGTAGTGGGGGGAGACGCATGCTCCACGTGAACATGCTCAAACCCTACTACGAGAGAATGGAGGATGTTGCTGCAATATGTGTGCCTGCCACCGATGACTTTGAGAATCTTCCCCTACCAGACCTCCTGGTGGAAGATGATAAGATAGGCACCCTAGATAAGGTTCAGGGGGAACGGCTAAGCAACCAAGAGCGTAGTAGGTTACTAGCCACAAAGGGAGCAACGTTTTTGAACTTACCTGGGTACACTCCGCTGGCCATCCACCGAGTAGACACCTCTGAACAGCCGCCCCTCAGACAGACTCCCTATAGAATCCATGAGGCTGCCAGGGAACACATGAGACAGGAGATCCAAGTGATGCTCCGTCTTGGGGTCATAGCAGTGTCGCATAGTCCCTGGGCTACTCTGGTGGTCTTGGAACTGAAGCGGGATGGAACGACCCACTTCTGTGCAGATTATCAAAGACTCGAAGACAAAACAGTATCGGATGCTTACCCCATGCCCAGGATAGATGAGCTCTTAGATTGGATGGCCCAGGGTTAGTACCTTACGACCATCTATCTATGTAAGGGCTATTGGCAGATTCCCCTAGCCCTAGATGCCATTCCCAAATCGGCCTTTGTCACTCCGTTTGGCCTGTACCAGTTTAAGGTCATGCCATTTGGAATGACAAATGCCCCAGCCACTTTCCAGCGTATGGTTGACCAGCTACTTGATGGCTTCCAAGATTATGCATGTTCATACTTGGATGACATCGCCATTTTTTGCGAGACTTGGGAGGAGCATTTGAGGCACATAGGAGCGCTGCTAGACTGGATTAAAGAGGCCGGCTTAACTCTCAAACCAAGCAAATGCCATATTGGAATGGCAGAAGTTCGGTACTTAGGACACCGGTTGGGGTGTGGGAAACAGAAACCCGAACCAGCCAAAGTTGAGGCCATAGCCAACCCCCCGTACCAAAACCCAGGTTTTAGCATTCCTAGGGATGGCGGGCTTCTACCACAAATTTGTCCTGAACTACAGTGTACTGGCCAAACCCCACACTGACCTAACTAGAAAGAACCTACCCCGCCAAGTAGTATGGGCTCCAGAGTGTGAACAGGCATTCCAACACCTCAAACAGGCTCTTGTTAATAGTCCTGTACTAGCTGCTCCCAATCCATCTAAACTATTTCTTGTTCAGACAGATGCTTCAATGTTTGAAATGGGAGCGGTATTGTGGCCAGCCTAAGGCATACCTGTTCAAAAATCATGCTGTCTAATCAGCATCTTGATATGCCACACCTGTGAGGTAGATGGATTAGCATGGCAAAGGAGAAGTGCTCACTAACACAGATTTAGACAGATTTGTGAAAAATATTTGAGAGAAATAGGCCTTTTGTGTACAAAGAAAAAGTCTTAGATCTTTGAGTTCAGCTTATGAAAAATGGGGGCAAAGACAAAAGTGTTGCGTTTATAATTTTATTAAGTGTAGATTTTCTCACCTATATTTAAATGGGAAATTGAAACCCCACTCAAGGGATTTTGTTTGCTGAGTGAAGACATTTTTGTAGCTATGAGAATTATGAGTTATGCTAAAAATCATGATCTTATATTAGATAACTCCATATTAGTAGAACATATCAACAAGATCAATTGTATAATTTGCTTCATTTGTTGAATCACCCTGTTTATCCAGATTTCTGGAATAGTTGGCAAAATTTAGGACAGATCGGTGGTACGAGATAAGTAAGGTTACTCATTATTTTAACATGCAGGAACTTAATTTCACAATTTGAATAGGTAGCATTTAGTTGCCCAGTGATGGCAAAGGGATATTGCTAAGCAGTCTATAAGTATAGTGAATATTCTTAGATTTAGAATCAGTTGTGGCAAAAATGTCCCATAATTGATACTAATCTTGAGTACAACATGAAAATGTTTTAATGAAATTTAGAATTAAATTACTAAATTAAAATAAGCCTCTGTTTTGGGAATAAGGTATGGTTATACTTTATTGGGTCTTGGCCTTTGGGGACAGCAACAGAGCATGTCAAGGTGGGTTTGTGTGAATTAGTGATTGGATGATTGCATTGGTTCATTTTTCTTTGTGCAATATATTTATACGTATGCAATTTTATATTTTTGTACAAATAAAACAGTTCTTTAGAAAAATATACAAAATTGTTTATTAAAACATTTATTTTCTCCTTGTACTAGGGAGAGGTAGAATACATTTTATTTACGCCTGTAATTGTGGTGAATTTACAAGAGAATTTATAAATGTATGTCAAAAGAACTTTTATTGCCTTAACATGGAATTCTTATGTCAATTATCCAAAATATTTGGTAACATAAAAAAAACATACCTATGAGTGCATATTGGATTCATAACTCAATTACATATCATAGTCACAAAATCTAATGCTCCACATCAGTACGGGTAACTTCATGGGTGTTCAAAACAACCAGGGAGTTCAGCCCAAGAGTAAATGTTATGGCCTCTCCCATATATATTTTCTTATGACTCTTAAAAAAAAAAAAAATATATGCCACTCCCTATGTCAAACCCTAAACCCTGACATCCACAGCAATATTCATACATTATGATGTGTAATATACTCCAGAAATTATGCATTAAAGTGTCATTGTCCTTACTTATGTAACTGTAAATGTTATTATTTAATCTGGACCCTGTGATTTTCAGGACTGGAGGATGTGACTGGCACCTTACACACCTCAGGTATATTGCCTCACAGAACCACAACAGCTCCAGGACAAAGCATCACAGATTGCAAGCTGGAGTTTGGTCTCACCAAATATATTCCATATGTTTGGACCCTAATGTATATACTTCATTTATTTCTTTATTATTTTTTTCTCTCCCCTCTTGAATGTTTTTCTCCGTTCATACCTGTAAATACTTTTTTTTTCACTTTATGCTAGGCTTATAGCTTTTTGTAATTTATCTCTCATGTCCATTGATAGTTTAACTCTTAATTGACATTGGAAAATACCTTACACTGATTTACAACTAGATAGTTGAACCATCAGATCCCTATGCTACTTACCCTAGTTTCCCAACAAAGAAATATAACTAGGGTTTTTTTTTTAAAACATATCTTTCAATAATTAATCATTAATTAATTAATTAATTACTTAGATCATATTTTGGTCAGGGCACTTAGGTACTTACATAATTGGGTTCATGCCTTCTTGCCCTTTAACCCTGCTTGCTTTTTCTCCCACTCTCTCATATAATATGTTGCCTCACAATTCGAAATGGTTTGACTACTTGCCTTTATGTAAACCCTGGGCACTCCATGGAGTGTTTTATTTATTTATTTAAAACTGGTATTTATGAAGTGCCAACATATTCTGCGGCACTGTAAAAATGGGAAAAAGACAATACAATAAGAACAGACTAATACAACAGGTAGAGGACCCTGCATGTGAGCTTACAATGTAAAGGGTTCTTACAACCTACTCCATAGTTCAGTAGTTCAGTAGAAGAGATGGCTAAAGACTCAAAGATTATTCAGGTGGACCTCTCTTCAACCAGACGCTCATGACCACAATCAAGACTTTTCCTTTCACCTAGACATTCAATGCTGAGTTGACCTCTGGTAACCACTTAGTTAATCATGGTGGGTTTTATCTTAATTCAGGCGGTAATGTGAGATGTCGCCGAATGTTTTTAGGGTTTCCATGAGGGGTGGTAAAGACCGCTGGGGGTCCCCTAGCGTTATCAGGATATCGTCGGCGAATAGCGCCAATTTATATTCCTGTCCTCGAATTGTGATTCCTTTTATGCAAGGGTCTGTGCGTATTTTTTGGGCCAATGGTTCTAGCGATAGGATGTAAAGGAGGGGGGATAGGGGGCAGCCCTGGCGTGTCCCGTTAGTAATCGTGAATTGGTTAGATAGGAAGCCACCGTGAGCTACTTTAGCTGCTGGTGATGCGTAGAGTGCCATGATTCCTTTGATGAATTCAGCAGGGAATCCATATTTGGAGAGCACTTGCATGTACGTCCAGTTGAGTCGGTCGAAGGCCTTCTCCGCATCTAGTGCTAGGAGGAGACCCCCGACCGACCCTTCCCATTGAGGTTAATATGTTGTGGGTTTTCCGGGTGTTGTCCGATCCCTGTCTCCCCCCAACAAACCCCGATTGATCATTGTGAATCAGTTGTGCTATTATCTGGGCTAGTCTGTTGCTCAGTATCTTTGCATATAGTTTGGCGTCGCTGTTTAGTAGAGATATTGGCCTAAAGTTTTTGCAGATATTCGGGGGTTTCCCTGGCTTGGGTAGCGTGGAGATGTGGGCTAACAGCATTTCTGAAGGTAGAGTTCCCGTGTCGTTACAGTGTTGGTATACGTTTAAGAGGTGTGGTGTAATGTGTTGGGAGAATACTTTATAATATCTGTTCGGAAGACCATCTGGTCCTGGTGCTTTGTTAATCGGTAGGTCTGCTATGGCTTTAGCTAATTCTTCGGCGGATATCGGTTGTTTGAGTTTGTGGATGTCGTCTTGTGTAAGTGATGGTAAGGTAATGTTTGCCAAAAAGGCGTCAATGGTAGTCAAGGGGGTATTTGCACTGTTTCGTCCTCTTTTAGATTATACAGTTTGTGGTAATAGTTGGCAAATTCATTTACAATTTGTTTCGGATCTAAGATTTTTGAACCATTGTTGTCAATAAGGGAGGCAATCCTGGGTGCGACCGATTTTTGTTTGAGTTGTGCAGCCAGTTTTGCTCCGGCTTTGTTACCATACGTAAAGTATTTGTGTTTGGATTTTTGTAGTAAGTAAGTGGTTTTGGCCAGTTCAAAGTCTCTTAGTTGTGACTGGGCTTTTAGTAAGGCTGCTTGTGTAGTGGGTGTTTGAGATTGTTTATTTTTATGTGTAAGTGCAGTTATCACTTCTATTAATTTTACATCTTGGGTTTGACGTGTTTTTTTTGCTTGGCTTGCGTGTTTGATGAAGCTGCCCCGTATCACAGCCTTATGGGCTAGCCATAGGTATTCTGGCGTGGTATCTGATCGTGTGTTTTCAGTAAAATAGTTTTGTAGATCTGTGGTAATCTGTGAGATTATTACTGGGTCGTTGAGCAGAGATTCATTGAGTCTCCAGGTTGATCTGCCGGTAGACGGGAATTGTTCAGTTAGAGTTAGGGTGATGGGGGCATGATCCGACCATGAGATAACACCAATATCTGTGTTTATTAGTCTTGTTAGAGATGTGGCCTTAATGAGGAATCTATCGATTCTAGAATAGCTGTTGTGTGCAGCTGTATAGCAGGTATAATCTATGTCTGCCGGGTGTGATATTCTCCATGGGTCTATAAAGTTGTGTGTCGTTAGTGTGTGACAGATTTGGGATGTTTGTTTGTGGCGTTGTGTTAGTGTTTTGGAGGTTACCCTTTTGGAGGAGGATGAGTCCATATTTGCGTCCAGGAGAAAGTTAGTGTCGCCTCCAAGAATTGCCTCCCCAAAGCTGTACCTTGACAAGAGACAAAACATATTATCTATGAATACAGGTTGGCTTTCGTTTGGGCTATATACATTCATCAAAGTATACGGTTGGTTGTTGAGATGGCATTGTAATATCAGATATCTGCCCTTTTTATCACTGATTTTGCGAATGAGTTCAAAGACAACTGATCTGTGAATTAGGATCGAAACTCCTCTTTTTTTTTTTATGGTAGCAAGTGTGATAATCTACAGGGAACCAAGGGGAGGTGAATCTGGGCGTAGATCCCCATTTAAAATGGGTTTCTTGAAAAAAGGCCACCTGTCTTTTGGCCTCTTGGAGGGCTAGTCTACGTTTGTTGGGTGTATTTAAACCCTTGACATTAAAAGAGAAGAATTTTAGTGGCATGTTGCTTGGTTTTATGGTGGTATTCGGGTAGACACTTATGTACCTTCTCCAGTGATGGAGTGTTTTGGGCGTTAAAGTTTGTTACCGAGACTGTGAGAGGGGACTTTTTTGGGTACAGGGATAGGGTTGGGGTTAAACTATGTACACTTGCCCGTTAGCCTCGAGGGCCTGATGCAACAGTGTGCAGACGGGTATTTATTGGCTCACTAGTGGGCCGTCGTTAGGGGTCAGTGGAAGTTTGGTATGAAATAAAGTAGTATTCCAAAGTGGAATAGATAATTATATTCGCAGTCTTAACACTTGTATTCTAAACAATATCAGTTATAACAATCGAAGGTTGAGCAGTGTGGGTTTTCCGCCAGCAGTGGGCCTATGTGAGGTGGCCACTTGTGCGGTATCAAAACTTTTTTTTTTTTTTTAGATTGGATAGTGCCAACCAGTCATATAGTAATACAACATCAATAGTATTAGCTGCAAAGCAATACAACACTTTTAAGTGCAATAAGTTACGTGTCCAGGAGCGTGGTAGGGTGATGGTCAAGGCTGGTAGTTTCTGCGGCCTTGTGGAGTATTGTTGATCCATGGAATTTGTTGCCAGTCTCTCGCCATTTTTCGTGGCGGTGGTGTGTCGGACTTTTGTTTTCCGCTCTGTGAAGCAGGGTTGGGGATGTTCCAGTCTTCCAGAATCTGTATGCCGTCTTCAGGCGTGAGGATTGTGTGGTCTGCTCCATTGCGTTTGACGAGTAGTTTAGTAGGGAAGCCCCATTTGTATAGGATATTGGCATTTCTGAGGGCTGTTGTAATCGATGTAAATGAGCGTCTTTTGGTCATCGTGGCTGCTGATAGGTCAATAAATAGCTTTATATCCGTGTATTCTTCTGGTAGAGATGGATTGAGTCTTGACGTTTGCATTATTTGGTCCTTGATCGTAAAATAGTGGAGTCTGGTTATGACGTCCCTTGGTATGGTAGCGGGCAGGTGCCGTGGCTTGGGTAGTCTATGGGTCCTGTCCAGGCGGAGGTCTGCGTCTGTCATGGGTGGGATCAGAGATTTGAACAATTTTTGCACATAATGTGTAAGATCCTGTGGGCTGACATTCTCAGGTATACCACGGATTCTTATGTTATTTCGTCTGTCCCTATCCTCGTTATCTGCTATTTTTCCTTCCAGATATTTAACTTTGTTTTCCAGTGCTGTGTGTGCATCTGCTAGCTCATTGTGAGCAGTTAGGATACCCTCCGTTTTTTCTTCTAGATGGGCTGTCCCCTATTACTTGTATGTCAGCTCTAATGTCTGCAGCTATGCGCTGGAGATCTGAGAATAGGGCTGATTTTAATTTATCCAGCATAGTACTCACTGAGGCATTCGTGGTAGGGATGGAGGCTTCACTGCTGTGGTAGCTTTGGGAGTCTTCCCCTTCTGCCTCGTGTGTGGGTGAACCATGCGGTCCGACGCCATCTTGGTCTCCTGAGTGCTCCGGTTGTTGCGAGCTCAGATGTGAGTCAATCGTTTTTTGCTTTAGTTTTTTTGACGATTTAGTCGTCATTATGTTCGGGATGGGGTTGGCGGTGAGATGGGCTGAGTTTGGTGGCGGATTTGCTGCGATACACGTTGTGGGGCCCACTATCTCGGCGGAGCTCTCCTTCTATGCGACTGCTTCCATGCGGTCCGTGGCCACGTCCCCCTAGTGTCGGTTACTCATTATTTTAACATGCAGGAACTTAATTTCACAATTTGAATAGGTAGCATTTAGTTGCCCAGTGATGGCAAAGGGATATTGCTAAGCAGTCTATAAGTATAGTAAATATTCTTAGATTTAGAATCAGTTGTGGCAAAAATGTCCCATAATTGATACTAATCTTGAGTACAACATGAAAATGTTTTAATGAAATTTAGAATTAAATTACTAAATTAAAATAAGCCTCTGTTTTGGGAATAAGGTATGGTTATACTTTATTGGGTCTTGGCCTTTGGGGACAGCAACAGAGCATGTCAAGGTGGGTTTGTGTGAATTAGTGATTGGATGATTGGATTGGTTCATTTTTCTTTGTGCAATATATTTATACGTATGCAATTGTATATTTTTGTACAAATAAAACAGTTCTTTAGAAAAATATACAAAATTGTTTATTAAAACAGTTATTTTCTCCTTGTACTAGGGAGAGGTAGAATACATTTTATTTACGCCTGTAATTGTGGTGAATTTACAAGAGAATTTATAAATGTATGTCAAAAGAACTTTTATTGCCTTAACATGGAATTCTTATGTCAATTATCCAAAATATTTGGTAACATAAAAAAAACATACCTATGAGTGCATATTGGATTCATAACTCAATTACATATCATAGTCACAAAATCTAATGCTCCACACCAGTACGGGTAACTTCATGGGTGTTCAAAACAACCAGGGAGTTCAGCCCAAGAGTAAATGTTATGGCCTCTCTCATATATATTTTCTTATGACTCTTAAAAAAAAAAAAAAATATGCCACTCCCTATGTCCAACCCTAAACCCTGACATCCACAGCAATATTCATACATTATGATGTGTAATATACTCCAGAAATTATGCATTAAAGTGTCATTGTCCTTACTTATGTAACTGTAAATGTTATTCTCTCTTTATTTAATCTGGACCCTGTGATTTTCAGGAATGGAGGATGTGACTGGCACCTTACACACCTCAGGTATATTGCCTCACAGAACCACAACAGCTCCAGGACAAAGCATCACAGATTGCAAGCTGGAGTTTGGTCTCACCAAATATATTCCATATGTTTGGACCCTAATGTATATACTTCATTTATTTCTTTATTATTTTTTTCTCTCCCCTCTTGAATGTTTTTCTCCGTTCATACCTGTAAATACTTTTTTTTTCACTTTATGCTAGGCTTATAGCTTTTTGTAATTTATCTCTCATGTCCATTGATAGTTTAACTCTTAATTGACATTGGAAAATACCTTACACTGATTTACAACTAGATAGTTGAACCATCAGATCCCTATGCTACTTACCCTAGTTTTCCAACAAAGA